ATTCTGTTGTAAGAAAAATGTATGTTTTATATACATTTTTCGACTAGTTTTTATACCTAATAACTTTTGTATTTGTATGAACACTTTTATGGAACAAAAACTGCACAATAGGATCAACCAAGTGGAATGAATCGAGCTAAACCACGAGGTCATTTCGCCCAGTCTCCTTACGTCTGGGCTTCTGTTTATTCCCTTTTTATAAACATTATGAAATTATTGCTGTCGCAGGCAACATCAGCCACTAAACCCTATTCGCAACCCCTATCCATGCGAAGATAGCAACAGTGTGTCTGCCCACTTAAACATCGCTCCCGTCCAACGTCCACCTCCCACCGCCCACGACCACGCCCATTGTTACACGCTGTATGCAATCAGCCACATGCAGTGATTGTCCACTTTGCTTGTCCATGTGCGATATGTCGAGGAGCCACTGTGGCAGCCGGAGGCAGCCATTGAACCGCAGCCATCGGAACCGCCCAATAAACAGCATGATGGCGGGACGGCCGAAATGGGGGAATAGCTGAGGGTTACGGCGCTCGACGTTTATCCAGGACGAAGGACCAAGGACCAAGGACGAAGAGGACCAAACAAAACGGCCGGGCCGAGCCGAGCCGGGCCGGGCAGGACATGCAAATCGATTGATGTTGATTAGCATAAATTGTCTGGACCGCATTGTGCAATGAATAATTTTGGTGGCGCTGACGTGCCACGCCCCCGCACGTCGCCGATTGGTGGGCGGTTGGGTAGTGCTTTTGTGCACCGCTTGCAATTTTGAGCGCCCTAATGCAATTTTGTTTTGCTTAATTTGATAGGCGTTGTCAGCTGAGCTGCCAGCCTGACAATGTGTCCACCTAACAGGAGCAACAATGGCAAAATTGCAAACCAGCAACATGCAACTTGGTGCAAGCAGCAGCAGCAACTAAGGGCCCGTCTGATTGGATGTGCTCTGTGTGTGCTTGCTGCAGGACTTGCCAGGCTGCGGATGTGTGAGTTGTGAGGGCTCCTACTAAAGCCATTAACCACTGTGTTTCGGGTGTCGGCCAGACAGATATTACCAAAATAAACGGCATAGATAGTAGACGTGGGATAAGCAAAAATAACTGAGTAATTTATGCAGCTTAGCTTGAATGCACTTACTAAGCTGTCTGTTTTTATTGCAATTACAGCTTTATGATTGGGCACCTCCTCAAGGGCCAGTAGGCTCGGCTCGTTAGAGATTGAATTATTATGTTATTTGGATATCACACTTTTGGTTTTTACGTATCTTGTATATCAGCATCCCGAAGAAACTGTATCAAAGTGTTTCACACGACTAGCGAAATTTGTTTATTGTCCCATTTTCTTATTACCAACTGCTTCAATGGCGTTTCTTTGCCGCGAAAATGCCCCGAAAAACAAATGTGATACATTCAATGTGCATGCAAACAACACATTTCGGTTGAATGGGCTGTGCTGAGCTGGAGCATGCGGTGCCAAAGTTTCGCATCGAAACATCTTTAAGCGGCGAAACTTTTCTCATAACATGCGAGCACTCGCACTCACACTCGCACAACAACAATGGCAATGGCAGCGGTACACGAATATCGCACCACCCAGCCGCACACGCCCTACGGCGAAATCTTATCAAACTGACATCATTTTCATTATGTTTTGCACTTGCACAGCTTCGACTAATGCGTGTGTGTGGGTGTGTGGCTGAGTCTTTTGTGCTCGAGGTACCCAGTCCTGAGATGGTAATATGTCCTTCTGCTTCACTTTGTTTCTGCCACACTTAGCGGAAGCACGCAGCAGTTTGCAAACTCACAGCTAGTGGTTTATTGGGTAAATATAACACCAATGGAATTGATATATAGAAAGTGAATTTGAGCCACGACAAAGTGATGAGTACTGAAACACCGTGGGAATGTAAAAATCAAGCAGCAAGTTTCTCCCAGTGCATTTTGCGTCAAATTATAGGCAATTCGGTACGGAATCTCCGCACACGCGATACGCATTACACACACATGTGTGCCCGCCTTGAGTGCGTGAGTGCTAATCTGGCCCGCCAATAACTGCAAATTAGATTAGCAACGCCTCGAGGGTGGAGCTGGACTCGAGCTCGCTGCTCTCCTCCCCCCGCCCCATTGACTGCTGACCGTCCATATATCCATATCCATATCGACATCGACATGCAGCCAGCAGGCAGCAGGCAGCAGTCCAGCAACTTGACCATCGCGTGTGGCGTTGATAAATCTCGACCAGCCAGAGCATAGGGCGAAGCTCGAATGCCCAGACCCCGATCCCCACTCAATCCAATCCAATACAATCCCCGGATGCCAATATATATTACGACAGGGGGACTGGCCATTTGTTTGGCATCCCATCGCGAGACGAAACTAATAAAAATCATAAAAACTTTTCCGCTTAGCGTTCCCATTAAGATGCCCCCTTGAAGATTGTTATTATTATTATTTGAGTGCGCCTCTGCTCTGTCCTTGGCTCACTTTCACATCTTCTACACATACTTTCACCTACCCGCGCGATAATGTTGCCACACTGAAAATTAACTTAACTACTTACTGAAGATGGGCAATTCAGGGCGAGCTTTAGGAGCCAACTTTGGGATCGTTTTCACCCGGCGAAAACTTGGCGGATGCCGAATAGTATGCGTCATGTTTACGATTCTCCTGTATTTGCAAATGTTTACTCACTTACATCACGCTTTTATTTTGCTTGGCAAGAAGCATTTGTGGGAAAATTATGTGCGCTCGTAAGTCTAATCGTCTTAAAAAGTGACAAGTAGTTAGTAAAAACTATTCCTAATTTGGATTCTTATAACAACTATCAAATAAGAATGCGCTATAAAATGGATTATTATAATATATTTTTGAACTAATTATACTAAGATTTCAATAGAAGAGTGTGTTGACTAAGGGGTAAGATATGGCAAAATCGATGCTATCCTTAATCGGTAGAATCACCTCCAACTGTCGCCGTCACGTCGATAACTCACTGTACACTTTATTGCCCGTCGCTTTTGAATGGCAAAACTTCCGCTGGTGATGGCGTTGAATGGAACTGCTGACGCCAGCGACGCCGCTTTTCCAGTGGACAATGTCCAGTTGCCATATAGTAGTACATAGCACATGGCACATGGCACATGGCACTTATTCATCGACCAGCGGGTAAATGACGCCCAGTCACTTATTCGCATCGCTGGCCGGGCAGAAGGAAAAGGGGGCGGGGCGTGGCAGAGGCTATATCGTTGTCCCGCTAATCGTAAAATAAATTATTTTCCATGTGCGCGCTGCTCGCCTGATTCCGAGTCATAATTCTTGCATCACTCCTCTCCCCCAAATGGAGCATAAAAGTTTCAGTTAATTGCATGAGTGAGAAGTGCACTGGGAAAAATGTATGATGTAAAGTTACTTAGCCAACCGGCTTTAACCCGAGGTAACTGAATATTATACGCAACATTTCTAACTAACTCACACTAGACTAATATTAAGCATAAAATTGTCTTATTCCAGATTACAACTTGTATGTTCCCGATTTAAGTACTAACGAAGTGGCTACTTTGTTTCCGTGTCATATGATGAGATTTTTAGGGGGATAAACTTTTCCAGCCACAACTGGCTGGCTTTAATTGTTACTAGTCGCATTTGGAGCCCGGCCTAATCACTGGCGCCGGATTAGTCAAACTTGCAGCCACTGGACGTGGGCGGTCGGATGGTTGGGTGGTTGGGTGGCTCGGTGGGTGAGAGGTTGGGTGGTTGAGTGGTGTCCAAGTGCTGAAATGTGTAGCGCTTGCCAACGCTGTCAGTCATAATTAACACTCAGCTGGAGCTGCAGCTTTGAGTTCAGTTTTAGCTTTGGAGTCGGAGTTTGAATGGGTGGAGTATTATATGAAACCGAAATGGGTGTGAAACAAAAGTTAGCTTCATTCCAACTGCTCAAAGTTGCTAATCAAGCTTGACAGCTGCTAAGGGGAATATGGAGATGTTAATTGGGTTCCAGTATACGCCAGTATGTACAGATGCACTGAGAAATATATTTATACGAGTATATATATGTATATATATATCAGTTGGCAATCGTATCAACTGATTAGCATCCGAAGAAATATTTTATAAATTATAAAACCAAAAAGGAAGTTACATTACGTTTAAGGAAAGCATGTATTATTGAGGGCAATTTGATTCGGAATTTTCGCTGTGTACCTCATACCTGCTGCCGACAGTTTTCGCAACATGTGATGGTGTAATTAAGAATGCAACGCACTTTGAGATGTATAGAGCTGCGAGCATCGGTTTTGCGGATGGTAAACTCATTAGCCACCCCTCGCGGCCAGATAAATGCGATTTGCAATCGCGGAGATTTCAATCGCGTTGCGGTTATTGTGTTATGCCTTGCCCAACCATCCAATCCATATCCAACCATCCATTTCACTAAAAATGTTCTGCTATCTTAAATTCCAAGCGACACGTGCCAGACACAACAACAATAACAACAAATTACACTAACAATGATGCGATGGGCCTTCCCACCCCCGTCGGATGCCATGCAAATTTGAAGCGCCTGACGCAGTTCCTCCTTTGTGTCTATGGCGTCATCGGCTCTACTTGGAGTCCCCCGCATTCGTACTTGATTACCCATACATACACTTTTTCGCAACATCCGCATTCGCATCCACGTCCGCAGCAGCAGTAGCAACTTTAACTGTAAATCGATATTCAGACAGTCTGCCTGTCTGCCCCCTGCCAACCCTGCCAACAATCTTGTCCTGCCCTCCGACCTCTGACTAACTTACTGTCTCGACACCAAAGTCGGTGGTTGGGACTTAAAGATACTTGATGCCTATGCGTATTACGATGCCTAGAAACACTAGTCTGTTGTATTTATGTTCAGTAATGGTAATTTAAAAAGTAAAAAAACGAAACGAGCAATCTAGCAGGGTCAGAGACTTTAAAATTTAGGTTTCCAAAAAAAAACTTTAGTCGATTTAGAAGTCATGCCTTTATGTGTCATATCAACACACATTTGTGGTTATATATTTAGGCAGGGACTGTTTTCGCCTAGAGCCCACAGATCCCAGAATGCTGCACAGCAGCTACAATCGGGCACCGCGTCGCAAACTCATTCCGAATTTGTTTAGCAACATCCTTCAGGTGATCGCCGATGCCGACCATCCGCTTACCGAACCCGAGATCATGGAGGCGATCGCCGATCGGCTGGACCGCAGCGATGAGGAGATGAAGCGCCAGGTCACGGTAAGCCTCCACGACGCCATAATCTACGGCTATCTGCGAGTGAAGAACTATCGTTACTCGATAGTTCCCAGCCGCCTGGACCCGGACGAACATCGCGACCATAACGAGCCCAGTTCCTCAATCACCGCCGCCCCGGAACACAATCGGGTGCAGGAGAGGATCTCGAGTGGAACCAGTGCTGCCATGAATGACAGCCAGGATCGGGATGAAGAACTCACACCCAAAGGCGCTCAGGCGTTGAAAAGGCTAAATACTGAGCCGCAAGGGCAAACGAATTAATAAAACAAATTACAAATGTAAGCCTTTAATAAATTGAACGAAAATCAATAGCAACTTTATCATGTATGTATGTATTTAAGCTGCTTGCTAAGCCACATGAAATTTTATTTAAGGTAAATGCATTTGCGACTTTAGAGAGCACAATAACGAGCGAATCAACTTGCTGTAGGTAATAATTCCTCCAAGTAATCCCCAATTAGTTTAGCCAATCCTCCAAGTAATCCCCAATTAGTTTAGCAGATCCTTTGGCAGGTAAGCTAAGCCCGCAAACGACTGCAGGATAGCCTCATGGCCTGATGGCCTAATGGCTCCACTCCTTCCAGCTGATCGACGTGCGGCAACGGCAATTCCTGAATCCCAGGCGACTTGTGTGTCAGCTGCGTTGGGGCCTGACTGCCTGACTGCCTCACTGCCTCACTGCCTCCTCCTCGACTGCTTGCCAGCAGCTAAACGGGCTAATTGAAATGCAACTCGAAGGCAGAATGCCCGATGTCCCATGTCCAAGACTTGACCCAACCCCTCTGAGGTGTGATGCTGGCATTTGAGAGCCTTAAGCTTGCGGTCATATCAACAAGGATACGTTGACTAAGACGGGCGACCTCAATCGCGTCCTTTGTGTTTGATGTGGTGTCAGCTTGGGGCGCAAATCATTTACCTTCCCCCCTGATATTATATACCAATGTATGTGCAGTACATATGCTTCAGTACGTATGCTTCAGTTCGGTTTGATTAGTGATGTGAAAATAATAAGTGAAAATAAACTCACACTAAGAAATAAAATATATCATTACCTAACAATGTTGTATGTGACATTTTGTGATAACTTTTTTGGCTTTTTCAAAACTATGTATCCTTTCAGCATGAATATCTGTTTTACCATCACTAGCCGAATATGCGGAGCTATTAGTTCCTGACTGAATAAGCGATTGTGTGTGGGCAACTGTTTGAGTTCACTGATTGTTGCGACACCAACTAGCATTAAAAGGGTCCAAACAGAATGCGGCCATGGTTCTCCATGCCATCCCTATTAATTCCACACCCTCGAGGGAGGCGGAAGTCACTGCGCTTGGGATTTAGTCACGCTTATGTCCTTGGCCTTACATACGTCTCCCTCGCACTCCCACCGTTTCCATGTGTGATAATACCTGTTTGGTCTTTGGGAGCTCGGAGCTCCGAGAGGTCCTAGGTACCTAGCTCCGACTACTCTGTTTTCACGCCCGTTAAACTGGGCAAGCGAGCGTGAGGCGAGCACATTACATTGATGCAGCACCACCAACTCTTTCTCCAGAACTCCCAACTCCCAGCTCCCAGCTCCCATCTCTCGCATCTCTTGGGCAACTCATTTAGCAACTTGTGTGTGTGTGTGCGAGTGTGTGTCTGAGTGTGTATGTGTGCAGTCTTTAGTCCAGCCAACTGACTTTACTCAGCTAAATTAGATTTTGTGGTGCGTAATTTGAAAATTGTGAAATTACCCAACACTGCGGAGAGGTCGAGAGAAATGATTGTAAAGTGACGTGGCACATTAACACCCAACAATGCCAACTGGTTATTCATTGAGGGTCGCTCACTAATCTCGGATTATCCCCTATGAGCCTTCTCAGAGCCCCCAAAAACTTACCAAATTAGTGCAATCGAATTGCCAGAGCTCCAAAATAGGGAAGAGCAACCCTTGAGCAAGATTGGCCATAATTCAAGAACGAAATTCAATTCTTGTTATTTTCGCACCTCATCACAAAGGCTTAACAAGCCCGGGGCTTGAACAAGGGGAGCCTTGTTCATTTGTTTATCGCATAACTTTTGGGCCCTCGGTGGCATATTGTTTTACATGTTGCTTTGCTGGATAAACGGATTCGGCTTGTTTTTGCCTGCGGAAAAGTCGCCCTTTTTGGGTCGCAAGCGGCCCAAGCGAAAAACTGGAACCCCAAATGTGTTATGTTGCTTGTGGTCTAACGTTTATTCCATTATTTATGTACTGCACACGTTTAGGCTGCGTTTTCCATCGCATAGAGAAAATTTCATTCCCCATTTTGAAAACAGAGAACAAATGTATCAAGTAAAAATCTTAAATATATATTTAAGAAATACACTTAATTAGCAGGAACAGTAGGCAGAGATTTTTACGTATACGTTACTTGACTTAGAGCCTTCTACAGATATACATAACACATACACCCTTCATTCGATCGGCAAAATTTATCTTTCGGCAGCATACTAAAAACTGTTGTAAATTAACGTATCTGTACCGTGTTCTTCTGTTGGGTTATTGGATCTAAGTGTACAGACTGCCTATTTTCCGGTTTTCCTCCAGACTGTAATAAGATAACCACAGAAAAGCCCAACGAAGCCGTACAAAAAAATATTTATATATATTTTCAAATAATAATCCCCAGAATTGCCATCAAAAAGATCAGTCCCCGAGTCGCATCAGTGAGCGCTGTCCAGTAACCAGCATACCACGCCTTTGGGAACATCTATCGTGGCAAACGACGAGCAATGGAGGATTTGCATATAACACTCGGTGATCTACCCCAGCAAGTATTGGCTGCACGGCACAGCATGATTCTGGGCCAAAAATTGGCTGGAGCACTTGGTGAGCCACAGCATCACCATCAGCATCATAACCACCTGAATCACCAACTGAACCAGCTCAATCAGTTGAGCCACTTGAATCAGTTCCATCAGTTAAATCATTTGAATCAATTGAGTCAGCTACACCAGCATCTACACCATCAGCTTAATATGTCTTCAGGCCTGAACTTAAATTTGGGCCTGGGCAATAAGATGCAGCACCTCAGCCATCGAATACAAATGGGTCTGGGTCTTGATGTGCATCTGGATGTGGGAGTAAATTTGGACATGATTCCGGAGGGCAGTATTATCAATAGTACCAGCAGTACCAATAGTACCAGCAGTACCAGCACGTGCAGCGATCAGGGGCAAGGACATGGATCTGGGATTGGACTTGATGACCCAAAGCGGGCCCAAAGCCAAGTGCACTACGCCCATGACCCTGCCCACGATAATGGCGATTCACCGAATGTCAAGAGTTGCACTGAATTGAGCAGCCCTCAATTAGAGAGCAATATGAATGAGGGGGATTCCCTAATCGTTTCCAAGTCTTCATCGACGGAGACGGACAAGGGGGAGAAGGATAAGGAAGAGGAACTTAAGGACAAGGGGGATGTTAAAGATAAGGAGGATAACGAGGACGTTTCCCAGAAACTGGAGCCGTCTGCTTCCATGTTGTTGAAAGCAGCCAACTCCAAGCTAAATGCCAACGCCACTGTTTATACGATGCCTGCTAAAGTAGAGACCCTTTATGACGGACGACTCTTGCCCCAACCGACTCTCGATGCAACCTCGCAAGGCACTGGGGACTTTCGCCTCAATGCCGATGCGCCTGTATTCAAGCCATCTTTGCTGGGCATTGGCCCGTTGATTTCGCAACCACTGCTTCCAGTGGTTTCGCTACCCCTACTTCCGGCGGTATCGCCACACCTGCTGTCGGCCATTCCACATCCTCTACTGCCAACACTGCACGAGTGGTCAGCCCAAGGTTTTCATCCAATGCAGCGGTTCGGCACGAAGCCAAATGCCCGCTGGCGCAAACAACCGCTTCCGGACTTGTTCAACGCCGTCATCTCACTGGTGAGGGAACTCTCGCGATCGGTGAGCTATCCGGAGATCATAAACTCTCTAGCCCAGAGACTTCAGCGCCCGGCAGTGGAACTGAAGCGCCATGTACCGCACACACTGCATGCCGCCGTGAACAATGGCTATTTGAAGAAGGAGGGCAATCGCTATTCCCTGGTCTCCGAAGTGGAACAGGCTGAGATCTGGCGGCGCAACTACGAGGCTGCCATTCGGACCAAGGAGCTGGAGAAGGAGCCATTGTCCTGGCGCAAGCGTTAGTGTATGGAAACCATATTTGCCTGCCAGCCTTGATACAGCACCCGCATGTTTCAACTACATTCACAACCTAGCATCTACACGCCGCATCCCGCATCTGCATCGACGCATTTCGTATCCTTCGGCTTCATATATTTTATAATTAAGCTTGCACAGCACTCGCAGCTGTGAGCATGTAGTCCTGTGAGTTGCACAACTCTGGGTTGTGCTGTGCCGCCGACGAGCCCTGCAAATTGGTTTTACTGTACGTGACCTATGTCTGCGAAACAGCGATCCGTGTGATCCTCGATGCGTGGCCTCTGCTTAAAGACACGTGATCTTCGATCCGCGATCGACGGCCAGAAAAATAAGTCACGGTGACATATGCATATATTGTATATAAGTCCAATGGGGACGGTTTAGTCGATATGCTGCCTCCTGAGGATATTTCGTTGCCTGATGCTCTCTTTAGCGTTTTTCTGGTTCAGCGCTTTATTATTGCAAGCTATTCGGGTAAATAAAATTTTAGTTATTCATCGAACTTATTTATTGGGGGGTAAATAAATGGTTTCCACTAATTGGTGCATCGAAGTCCTTAAAAGTTAGAAATCAACAATTTATATTTGATTGGCCTGCTGCAGCTCATTGAAATCATACTATGGCCAGTAAATTTTCGCTTTTAATTTTGTGTTTATCAATTTAGCAGTCGTCCATCCATCTCTCAGTCAGTCAGGCAGTCATTTAGACGGTCGGCAGTTGTTTCGATCTGTTCAGTTAACTAGCTATTGTGTGCGGAGTGGCTAGTTCTAGAGCTCATCATGATTGTTTTGTAATTGGAATGCGACAATGCGAGGCCAACAAGGAGGATGATGATGGTTGATGGTGGGTGATGGTGGATGGTGGCTGGTGGATAAAGGATGCCATCTCCTAGTATGCAAGGACAATAACAACAGCAGCCACGGCAACGATGAAAGGCTGTCGGCGGAGGGTGGTAAGGAGGAGGAGCACGACGAGTGAATGCCAACTCAACTAACAATTTGCTTCAATTATAAAAAGCGTCGCGACAAAGTGGCGCCAAGCAAGCGTCTGGTGGGGATGAGTGGGTGGTTGCATTGGGGCATGAATGTGATGCTGTGCTGTTACTCTGGTTGTTGCTATTGCCTTTGCCTTACTGTTGCTGCTGATGAAATGCGTAAACAGTGGACAGAGTGGCCCGAGGGGTGCGGCCTGGTAGTCAGCATGGCGACGCACTGCTCCTTTGAGCCCTGAACTGCCTCCTTCTCCAAATATGCGGCTCTGTGCTGGCAACTATAGATCGCAAAAATAGTGGAAACCGATATTTAGATTTTCAATTTTAGCGTGTACTTTTTGTAAATGTTAGTTGGTCCTTTTAATGAAGAGGACCAATATTTAACAGACTTTGGAGTTGACTGTCCGTAAAATATCTACAATTTAGCTAGAAAAAAGACAAATTGGCAATTCCCTCGAGCAGTGAGGAAAGGAAAGTCAACGACCGGAATGAAAGTGGAACTGGAACTGGAGCACCGAGGAGCCTCCTCTGGCGTTAACCTCAAACCATCCTTGCCAGCTTTGTCTGTGTATATGGTCATCAACTTATTTGCATGCTGCAACTCTGGGCCCTGTCATAATTGTATTTTGTTGCCGCCAGTCAGGGATCAGCACTTCGATATGCCAGGGTCCTGTCCAAAGTTTGTTGCTTCAACGCCATTGCCACCGAACCGAACCTGTTGACTCTTTTTCCAACTGGAGGAGCAGACAGATGACAGGAACACGGAGAGCCAGGAACTTAACGCGCCCAGCTGGGAGATGATTTACTAAGCTCGGGTGATTCATAAATATTTCTTCCCAACGCTGGCTCAGGAATCTCGGGGTCCATAGCCCTTTTGCCATGTTGTAACTGTGCAGTGAGGAAAAAACCCATCGTTCGAATAAACAATTTTAAAAATCAGTTACTACATTAAAAAATATGAAAATTCTTCCCAAGGATTTTATCCTGATTTTTTGGTACAAAATAATACGATTTTTTTTTAATAACAATTAAAATACATCTGCAAAAGTGGAATGTGATAACCTTGCCGAATGCTCTAAATTTGCGACTGATCTGTGGAATCCCACTCAAAAACTACTGATAGGAACTCTCATTTATTTTCCCAAAACTCTGAAGCTTAAACTAATAGTTTTTAAAGTAAATAAACTAATTCATTTTTTTCGTTGTGTAAGAAAAGAGCTTCAATTCACCAAGTTCATAGCTGCTGTTAGGATGAGCTGAGTGCCATTTGTCATGACATTGCATGAAGAGAAGCGTGAACCAAGCGCAAAGGCATGTGTGCGAACGGAGTTGAGTTTAAATGTTAAATAGTTCACAGCCAGCTTGATCCTCCGGCACTTGAGCTGGACTGAGCTGCCCTGATGTTGCGTGTCAACGGAATGCTGAAACTGAACTGGAAGCTACGCACACGCAGGGCAGATTAGCCGATGATGCAGCTCCTGGCTGCAATCTAAACGTATGTATGGTTTTTGGAACAAAGAGAGTACACGGACCAAACGCATCTGCAGGAAGAACAATGCTCCCTCAGATTCTGGTATTCATGCCATGCAATCGTGCTCAAAGCCATTGCGTAAGTAAAGGCTCTAGACTGCATGGAATTAGTCGAGTAATAATCGAAATGGGGCCAGTATAAAAAGGGCTTACGCTTAGAGAAAAAAGGTAGATAAAAGGACATATAGAAATAATACAGTTCAATTAGCAAAGATAATACAAAGAAGAAAAAAAATCCAAATAATCAAAAACAAACAGCTGTAATAACTAATCTAACAAAGCAATAAGGTGCAATATTCAACATCACTTAATGGAATTTGACCACCGAAAATGAAACCAGCCCCACTTCCTTCCTGCGGATTGACCACCCAATTAGCGAATTAACCTCACAGACCCACACAGTTAAATACCTATACAATCGGCAATAATAACAATCATTTAATTCCAGGTTAATTGCACATACTTTGGTTTGTGCTGGGCCATAAATTGTGTGCATTCGTCGGCCGCTGCCTGGTGTTTGTGTAATTTATTCGCATATTTCAGTGGAGCGTGGAGTGACAGCCTGAAATTATGCTACAAAATGCCAGGAATGCCTACCCCCCCTCGTTATGTTTTTGGGGGAGCGGGAGTAATAGATGTGGCCCAAGTCAAGACAGAAACGAGGGCAGACATCCAGCAGGGGCACACACAAAAACTCTGGGCTGCTAAACGCATTTACGTGTCAGAACTAATTTAATGTGGCGCCCCAGGGTGAACTGAAACGAACTGAAATGGAACGGAACGGAGTGGAATGGAATGGGGTGGGTTGTGGTGTACTACAGTGGAGAACCGGAAAAGGAAAACGGAAACGCATACGCAGCGAGCCAGTGGCGCCTGACCATATTTTGCTTATTTATTTGCCTTGCAGTAATGCCCTGACACCACGACACCCGCCCTCGCACATTTCTCACCTAATAAAATTACAATGGCCACACATCCACACACCCCCTGCGATGCACCCTCACATGTTGCTCCTGCCCCGTTGGCCTTTTCGTTCCTTTTTGATGTAAATTTAATTTCGGTTTTCACATTTTGAGGTTTTCATAGCCGCATGCTGGCATTAGGAGGATGGCACAGAAGAAAAAATTGTACCAATCTATAAAGCCTTCATTAACGAGAATATCTTAGCAGCGCACTTTCATCCTACAACATTATCCGTATGGGATTTAATCTATGGGATTTTCTAATTTCAATTTTTAACTTACTAAAATGAATTTATAAAAAAATGTTTTCTTTTTTTTTAAGCACTGTAACCCAAAGCCTGATTTTTTTCTACGTGTGCACCGTCCTGTGTTCTGAGTTCTGAACTCCAAGTGAGTGTCCGTGTCCCGGTCCGGGTCCTGTCCTCCGACTCCCTCACCCCCTGGTGTCGTAGTGGTATCCCAGGGGATTCGGGGGAGCATATTCAGCTGCGGTAATGCTTCTTTCATCGCTGCTTCCTTCCACCCAACCCAGTGGTCCTGCTCCTGCTCCTGCTCCTGCTCCTGCTGCTGTTCTTTTCCTTTGCCCTGTCACTCTGTCATCAGCGTCACATATTGTTCGCCTTTTGTCCTTTCGGGGGGATGGAGTGGGCGGTGGTGAGGACGTCCTGCGTCCCCCATATGAATATGTCAACTCGATTCCCTGGCGTGTGCTCCGAATCGAGTTCCTGTTTTTTGCGCACTTTTCCCCCTTTTTTCTTGCCGATCCTGTTTCCGCTGCCGCATTGTCCGCTCGGCGGAGCTGCGATTTCAATTAAACCCCTCGCCAAACCGATGCAATTTCAATCTAATTTTCGGGACATATGCGAACCCCTAATCGAATAATCCGCAAAACTCCGCCGTGTCGTGCGGTTAACTTTGTTACCTAGCAACAGCAAAGCACTTGTGCAAAATATCAAATGGATTAGTAGATGGCCAAATAATCGAATTCATTCGGAAATGACCTGGCAAGTTCAGTGACCGAAGCCGGAAACGATTCTCTGCCATCCTCTTGGAGGAAGTTCACATGGAGGGAGTCGGGAAAAGAGTGAACAAGACCCAAACAAAGTCTGACACTCGACACAAGCTTAATTGCTGGTCCCAGAACCCGATGCCTAGCCAGATCCCGAGCCAAATCCTGGGACTCCAACTCTGACTGTGAAAAAGCGCCAAGTGCACTCGAGGTAATTTGATTTAATTGTGCGTGCCTGCTAGCAGCAACAACAAAAGCACTTAGCCAACTTGCAACAGCCTGGCAAGTTTTGTTCATATGTTTGTGGTCGCCTCTTTCTATACCCTAACATAAGGTGTAGATTTGCTTTAGCATTGTTAAGATCTCTTTTATATTGCATCGCCGTTTGATAGTATTGTTATTATTGAAATAAACTTTTTGTTTGCTTTATTGAAAGTGTTAAATAAAAAGTTAGCTGCATTAGTTTACTTTCGATATGCTTAAAAATACCTATAGTCAGACTTCAAATGGAATCCTTTCATACCACTCTATTTTTTGCATTGGTGCTCATAAGAAATTTACAAGTGTCGGGTGTTGGCTCCTTTTCCTGACTCGTGGGTCCCAGGTTAAAGGTTCCAAGTCCAAGTCTGAAGCTCTTGAACTCCATTCAGCCTGCGATGGCCCCTGCCCCTTGAACTTGCTACTTGCAACTTGCAACAGCTTCAATTTGCAACTGTTAGTCCGCACGTTGTTTTTCCTCATGTTCGCCATGGTCACCATTGTCGGTGTTTATTAACTGCGGACCTGCTTTTCTTATATATCTTCTTTTTTTTTTGTTGCCACTGGTTTCTCGCCTTCTGCATAAATCATCAACGCAATGGCCTTTAATGCATAATTTATTTACCGTTTCAGGATGCCCCCAGCTATCTCTGTCTGCGGTTTTGCTCTGGTTTTTTGTATTGTTTTTGAACATGCTTGGTTTTTAGAGCTGAGCAAATTTATAGCTGACGAGTATTTCCGCTTCCG